TCCCTCCTGCAGGCCATCTGGATGCCTCTAACCTTTAGTCTAGTTCCAGCCCAGGTCCTGGCACAAGCTGGTCCTAAGAGGGAGGACTTGAAGGAACACCAGCACCATCCTTCCAGCCCCTACTGCTTGCTGACATCACTTCTAATCATGGTTGTTTGGCTCTTGAAAGCTGAGAACTCCCTGCCTCCCACATGCAGATATCTGACACCTACTCTAGTCTGCTGAGGGAGGATCAAACTTCTTCTTTGTGATATCCTTCCCCTTCCCCTTCCCCCTCCTCCCACCTTGCAGGAAAAGCAAGCCTGTTCTTCCTCTGGGCTCCTGTGATATTCCTTGAGCTTACTTACCTCACAGCATTTGCCTCACTGTTTTGTAATTCTTTATTTACTCTTCTAAAATCCTCCTTGGATTGCCAGTATCTCTGTTTTGTTCCTGGTTCAAAGTAGGGGATTGGAAAATGTTCCTTAAATGGAATGAACTTTCGATTCCCTTCTAAACATGGGCTGAGATCAGTATGAGACAGGAATTTGGGCATAAAGGGAGAGATACTGTCTCAAAGGAAGTGCCCGTAAATCATTGAAATGTAGGGAACACCCATGAACCACTGAAACAGAAAAAGCACCCATAAACAATTGCAATTTCTGAGCAAAGTGCCCTTGACCCCATGCCCTTGGAATACAAGGACAATGTCCAACTGGCATGAAATTATGTAGCTCCATCCTGGTTCCACCTCTAGTTGAAGAGTTCTATAAACCCCTAGACTCTATACTCGAACTGCAACCAGTATCAGGTCCCCTCCTGTCCCTGTGGGAGCTCTCTTTTCTTCTCAGTTGAATAAATGCTACTCTTTTACACTCACTTTTCCTCATCTGTAGATTTTGTTTTTCAAATTCATGAAACAAGAACCAGAAAGAAGTAATTGGTGGTGAGCTGCTGGGGTGTGTTTCGACACCAGAGGGCATAGCCCACCATTAAAAGCTGCAACATGTCACTCAACAGTAGTGGAGAAGAATCTGGCTTTGTCAGCTGGGACCCTTGGAGCTGATGCCAGCAGTCATATCCTGCTGTGAGGAAGTACTAACACTAAAATGGGCTTTCTCAGATGCAGAGACCGGCAACTTACACAGACCCCATCTGCCAACAGAAGTGGAGAATCAAATTTTGTCTCAAACTCCAGTTGCATTATGATGCTAAAAAGTGTGTGTGTGTGTGTGTGTGTGTGAGTGTGTGTGTTTTCCTACTATTATCTGTAAGGTCAGGCAATGGCAGCATCCAAAAGGAGGCAGATTTTAAAAGGCCGCTGAAGAAGGCTTTATTGAGATTCACCCCAGGGCAATTCTATCAGAGCAGATAAGAAGAAGATCTGAGGAGAAACCGAAAGGGGGCTCAATAGGACTGGAATTTTATGGGGCTTATGGCAGGAAGGGAAGGGCTTGGGACAGGAAAAGGGATTTTTAGAGTCCCTTGTCCCAGTGAAGTTGGTCGGGTCCGGTGGGTGACTGGCTGAGATCCAGGATTTGCCAGGAGATCCTGCTGATTGACAGGTGATTCCGTCAGTGCCTAATTGATATTTTTTTGCACCTTCGGGCTGCTTGGTGCTTTGTTCCTAAGTCACCCCCACCGATCTGACATTATCTTTGAATGTTTTTTTTTCCTTTTTCATTTTCTAGGTAGGAAGCAAAAATGCCAGATATCCAGCTCAATATTGGACCCAGAAAGCACAGGGCCTGATGACTTAGGTGACTGGTTGCAATACACACAAAAAGAAGCAGACCTGCTTCTACTACAAAGCCTGGCATGATGCCTCTTAGCCAGTGTTGCCTGATCCTTGAAGGCTTTAGCTCCTTGGTTTTCACCAACTCACCCTTGGATCCCTTCCAGTCTGGGACAGTGCTTTTCAAGATAGCTGCTACTGGGTCAACTGATCAGAATCTCCAGTGCTTTGTCCACAGGACTCTAAGTGGTCCTTCCATCTGGTCTCAGCCATTGTTTTCCACCAATGTCTCAGCATCCTTCAAGGTCCAGCACGCGCTACTTCTGCACCAGACACCATGCTCATCACAGGGATTCCTGTGATGTCAGCTGTAACTAGGCGGATTTCGAAGTGTAGGTAGAGAGGTGAGTGCAACATCTGGAGCCTCTTAACAGTGAGGAAATCATGTTTCTGTCCAAAATATGAAGGATAGTAGAGCTAAAGACAATTAGATGCAGGGAGGATTCTCTGATCTCCTTTTGCCTGTAAGTATAAGCATAAATAAACAAAATGGGAGCAGATCTCAAATGGATCATCAAGTTTCCTTTTATTCAGCAGTGATGTCAGTCAGGTATCAGAGGGGCTCATTTTCAGTGTGGAAAATGGCCCCTGGTTACAGAAGGAGTCTGTTTTATAGGTTACAATGAGGGTGAATTAATTATTGGAGACTGAAGCAAAATGTGTCAGTTTGGATGGTCAGGAAAAAAATTGTAAAAAGTCTGAAATTTATTGTTACTGGGAAGGGATGAAAGCTCAGCACTCAGTTGGAATTCATTGTTTAACTTCCTCCTCTGGGACCCACTGTTACCCAGAGCTTCACTATTTACTTTTCTCCCTCCAGGACTCATTGGTGTGTTTTGATACTGTATTTTGCCATCATCCAGCTCTTTCTTTTGTGATCTGACTAAAATCCAATCTCCTTGGTCCAGGCTTCTTGGTGATAAAATTAGAGTGATGAGAACTCCATTCACCCAGAGGTGGCTTACCCATGGAGATTGGTGGCTTGAGGGATAGCTCAATAGTGTAATGCCAGATTCATGGGACCCCCAATAGACCTCCAGGAGCCGAATCCAATGTAATCACACAAGAGTCTTTATTGCAAGTTCAAGCCTGGACTCACAACCGTTCCAGATGCAGCCGTCCCAGGGAGTGAGTCCCAGTCCTTTGTTCAGTGAGATTTTATAGGTTTTGGGGGGATACTCTATGCATCACAACATCACACAACAAATCATCCTATACCTCGAGAAAATCAAACAACAACTTTTAACATTGATTAGCACATTCACTGTCGGGGGAACAAGTTGGGTAGGGGTGATTGGTTAGTACAAGAGGGGGATTCCTTTGAACTGATTGGTTTAGGCCATGAGGGATGTGCGTGCTAAACTACATGGTTTCCCAACATGTTATCAACCACCATAAACTACGGGGGGGGGGTGTGTGTCATCTGGCACCCCAGGTATTTTCCCTGTCTCATGCTGATTGGTGGTTGCTAGGGGGTTGCTATGGGTCCTCACCTAGCCTGAGTCAGGGACACCTGGTGCCACAGATCTCTCCTGTAATTTGCAGACAAACCACTCAGCAGGGTAGGTATGTGCTTTGGAGTGCTCTGTGGGTTTTTCCTAGGAAAAGGGTCATGCCCCCTTCCTTAGGACAGGCCTTGAGGTAGAAGCTGGTTTCTCAAAAATGGAGTCACATCAGTTTCTAAATAGCTCAGTAAAAGAACACCTCTTCTAGCATGTGTGAGGCCCTGGGTTTAATTCTCACCTTGGTGATGCTAGGTTATTGTAGTTTTCGGGGATCCCATTGGTAAGATTGCTTGCATCACTGCCAGACAGATTGCCAATTCCAGTGACACTGTCACCAAAGTGGAGACTATTGCCCCACAAAGACTGCTTCGAACCAGTCACCACCAGAGACACCCAGGATGTGTCCCTTCAGACCTAACAGTGATTCTCAATTTTAGCTGCCACTGCAGTTACTTGAGAGGCCTTAAAAAAATTCATTGCCTGGACCACTTATGGACCAACTGCATCAGAATCTCTGGGGACCGGTCCAGGTGTCAGTGTTCTCTAAAACCCCCAGATGATTCCAATATGAAGTCAAAATTAAGAACCACTGTTGAGGGCAGCGGCATATTCCTGTTTTCCCAGCTACTTGGGAGGCTGAGGCAAGAGGATAGCAGAGTTTGACACCAGCCTGAGCAACTCAGCGGGATCCTGTCTCAAACAACAAAACAAAACAAAATGAAAACAAAACAAAACAAAACAAAAGCAAAGGGAAAATCAGACAACAAAAAATGAAAAAGGGTTGGGGATGCAATTCAGTGGTAGAATGACTGGGGTTCAATCCCCAGTACCGAAGATGTGTGTGGTGTGGGGAAGGGGGCGGGGGTGGGGGAACAAAAACTGATGCCCTGTGCGAGCAAGAGATCAGTCTGAGGTCGGGATGCTCCAGACCGCCTGACTCCAGGTCCCGACAGAAGCTGGCGGTGGCCTGGCGACTCCTGGGTCCAGTGCTGGTGCGGCGGGTAAACACCAGCAGGGAGGCTCCAGGGCTCCGGCTTCCGGATTTCGGGCTCTGCCGAGGCTGCCCAGTCCGCCCTGGGGATCCCTTCTCCAGCAGGGAGGCCCACGTGGGCGGCTCTGCGCAGTCAGCTTGCGGTCGTCAAGGAAACCTCCCCTCGGATCCCCAGAGACCACAGCGCACCCTCCCTCTTCCTGCCCACTCAAGAGCGTGGTTAAGAAATAGCCACCAATGAGAGAGCGGGATTCCTGTGATGTCAGCGGTAGCTGGGCGGATTTCCAAGTGTAGGTAGAGAGGTCAGTGCAATATCTGGAGCCTTGGGCGATTGGAAGCCTGGTGCAGGGTGACAAATAAGGAATCAGAGAGACACAGCTTCCCTTGGGGTGTCTGTCCCCAGGCACCTAACATTCCCCGCAAACACACCTCTCTTCAACCCGACCCCTTGCTTCTCAACGCTGGCACTGTCATGTCTTATTCTATGACCTAAGGCTCTTGGGAGGAGCAAGGGTGGAAAGGGATTCCGCATTTCGGAAAAGGCTTAGAGGAAGAATGTGGCTGTAATCTTTTTAATTCTATGGAAAAAGGCTGAGTGTGGTTCAGCCAGCGATTGGATGGGACGTATGGGTGGTGAGGACTTTTCCTAACTGCGGAAGATGAGCGAGGAAAGTGTCACCCTGGAAAATAGAGAAGTCAACTCAGTTTACTGCAGTGTCCTGAAGTGGGCAGAGTCAGGAGCCGGGGTTTGGCTGGAACCGATTTATTGAAAGCCTGAATGCCTGCCTCTGAGTCTTGCTGGAGATGGCTACCAGGTGCTGAAAAATGAGGATCTGGAGCTACAGGAGCCAGGCTGGGCATTCCTACAAGAAAATGAAGCCAGATTTAAAATTAGGTAGTCAGTGTAGTTAGGTAAATCGGGTCTAATATCGAGTGAAATCTAAAATGGAGGCCATGTTGAGAATGAATTTCGCGAAAAGCTGAGCAACTCTCAGAATGTTAATGAAGCCCAGGAAACAGCCCCCAACAGATTTGAAGATAGCCCATCCCAAAGAAATGTTAACAAACATATGCAGTATAGTAGTTGGTAGAAATGTGCAAACAAGGCCTCTGGCCTTGGGCTGGGCTTCACAGAGATGTCTACATTTTTAAGATAAGTTACCAACTGGGCTCTATGGTAACAGCTGGCAGGAGGAGGAAGGAAAGGGGAAAAGAAGCTCTCCCCTTCTCAGGTGTTGTCTTTGAAGGGTTAATTTGTCCAAAGCAGTGAAAGAAAAAGCTGCTTTTATGTGAACTTCTGCAGACTGTGAACTTCTGAGCCCCTCCCCTTACATGCTGGCTATAAAACTCTGAAACTCCCTGAACTTGGGGTTCCTGGGATTAATTGATTACAGCCATTAAGATGATGATAATGAAGTTAAACTGTGTATAATTGCTGTGACTGGATGATGCTGGATTGAAACAGGCTGTGTATTCAGTTGTATATAGACCCCTGCTGTCTGGCAATAGGGTGGCTACTTTTGAGTTCTCCCGGGGAGTGCCTGTGGAGTGCCGGTGGAGTTCGGGCAATAAAGGAGTTCCTGTATTTTGTGCCCAGCCAGACTGCGGCAGTTGTGCAACTATCATTACAATCAATTTTAGAAAAATTTCATCACTCCAAAAGAAAACTTATACTAATTTCTCCCAAATTCCTGTCTCTAGACAATAACTATTCAACTTTCTAGTTCTAGAGACTTGCCTATTCTGGATGATTCATATAAATAGAATCATGTAATATGTGGTCTTTTATTACTGGCTTCTTTCACATAAGCATGTTTTCAAGGTTTATTCATGCCCAACGGACTGCATTCCTTTCTCTTGCTGAATAATTACAGTCAATTGCATGGATTGGCCATATTTTGTTTATCTATTAAACAGTTAATGGACATTTGGATTGTTTCCATTCTTTAAACAATTTTGCTGTGAACACTTGGCATATAAGATTTTATGTTGGACACAAGTTTTAATTCTCTCAGATATATAATCAGGAGTGGAATTACTGAACAAATGATAACTCTATTTATGTCTTAACTTTTTCAGGAACTGCCCATCTGCTTTCCAAGCAGCTGTGCCATTTTACATTTCCAACAGCAATGTATAAGAGTTCTGAATTCTTCACATCCTTACCAATACTTGTTATAATCTGTTTTTTTGCTTGAAGTCCTCCCAGTTGGTATGAAGGAGGATCTCATAATTTTAATTGGTGATTTTCCTAATAATTAATGATGTTGAGTGTCTTTTGATGCTTTATTGTCCATTTGTACATCTTCTTTGGAGAAAAGCCTAATCAGATCCTGTGCCCATTTAAAAATGGTCCAGTTCAGTTGTAAGAGGGTTTCTCAAATGTATTCTAGATACAAGTCCCTTATCAGATGCTGTATGTGATTTGCAAATATTTTCTGACATTCCATGGGTTGTCTTCATGCTTTCTTGTTGGTAGTCTTTGTAGTATCAAAAATTTTAATGTTCATTTTATTTATGAGGTTTTTTTCTTTTGTTGTTTGTGTTTTTCGTGTTACCTCTTAGAAGGCTTTTATTTATTCGATGTCATAAAGACTATTATATTTTCTTCTGGCAGTTTTATACTTTGAATTTTCATTGAGTTAATTTTCATGTATGGTTTGAAGAAAAAGTCCAATTTCTTTCTTTTCTTT